AAGTAGTTTTTTTTAGTATTCATGAAATCCGAGATGTATTATATAGAGTATAAAGTTTTTTGTGTGGTTGCTAAGTGTTTGTAATGAGGGGGCGGGGAGAAGCCACGAAACCTCGAAATGAAAGCTTACAGGGTGTGGGTGGGTCCCAAGCAGACAAAATTTTTGAAAAACGCGTTTAAACGCACAAACGGGAACCACGATTGTAAGCCGTTAACACTCATTAAAAAATCGCACGAAAATGCGTTTATTGGCGTTTTTTGTAACTTTTTGGGCGTCAAAACGGCGAAAACTTCAGTTTTTGAGCGTTAAAACGCGCTATTATTCTAGAATTTAAAAACAAGGCGTTTTAACGTTCAAAAACCGAAATTTTCGCCGTTTTGACGCCCAAAAAGTTACAAAAAATGCCAATAAACGCGTTTTCGTGCGTTTTTTTTAAATGAGCGTTAATGGCTTACAATCGCGGTTCCCGTTTGTGCGTTTAAACGCGTTTTTCAAAAATCTTGTCTGCTTGGGGTGTGGGTGTGGGGTGTGGCTGTGGCTGTAGATGCTTGCCGACACCCACACCCACCCACACCCCACGCCCACACCCACACCCACACCCCATCCACACCCAGATCCACACCCACACTCCACACCCACATCCACCCACACTCGCATTACGCGCTCCCCATGGCTCCACCAGGGTCGTTCCTGATCGCGCGAGAATAGAAATAAAATTTGAGTACAATTTTTGAATTTAATCAAAATTTATTCGAAAGCAGAAAAGAAAAAGAACGGAATAGAAAAAATTAATCATACGAATAGAGTTCATTTGATTTCAAATTTTTGTACCCGATGAGTTTCGTACTCGACGACATAGAGATTACCATGTCGATCGAATGATAAACCTACGGGATAACTGAGTTGATTTGACTGTGATCCACGACCGTTTCCACCAATAATGACAGTTCCTTGTGTGGCACCTTTCGGCCAACGCATAGTTCGATGATTCCAAGAATCAACCACATAGACAGTACCCAATTGATCGACAACAATTCCCTCAGGGAAATTCAATTGTGTAAGACTATTTCCTTGTCCTTGAACACCAGCTACAACAACGCCTTGTTTTGCACCTTGTTCCCATTTTGTGACACGATGATTTCCATATTCAGACACATAAACTGAATGTTCTCGATCGATGAAGATGTAGTGGGGACTACAGAGTTGATTGAGACCATTTCCTTGTCCATTACCACCTGCAACCAGTGTTCCTTGAGGATCACCCTTTTTATATCGTCTTACTTCATGTTTTTCATTGACAACGACATAGAGATAGCCATTGTCGTCCATTGTTAAACCGAAGCAAGAGATATTTGAAATAATAGTTTCACCACGAGTACCATTTCGACGAGGCCAACGAACTACTCTTTTGTTCTTGTAATCGGAGATGATGAGACTATCGGTTTCTTTGTCGATAATCACATCTACTGGCTGATTTAATTGATTAGTTTCATTCCCTGCTCCATTTCCACCAGCAACGACTGTGCCATTCGTTGCACCAGATTTCCATTCGAGGATACGATGATTATCCTGATCAGCGACATAAATTGTTAGATCCTCGTCGACGTATAAACCCCATGGGTGATAAAGTTGATTGATTCCACTTTCATATTCATTTCCTCCAGCAACAGTGATACCATTCGTTGACCGTGTTGCTTTTGGTTGAATAGCAGTCGAACTTGCACGCATCGGTCCTAAAATGAAAGAAATGAATTTCATGTTGGTAAGAACTTCCCAATCAGAAGAGACATTTAATTTTTTTGTAAACATTGTTCTTTTCTTTATAATAATTAAAATTTCAATGTAGGTTTTTTTTGTTCAAAGACAAAATTTTCCAAGAAAAAAAAAGTCTATTGCATCGTTTTATAGCTTTAATTTTTGTGTACTCAAAAAGTGAGTACACTCTAGAATTGGTCAGTATGTCCGGCCGTTTACACGATAACTTTCGAAAGGAGAGCCCGATCACGATGAAATTTTCTATACAGTTCAGTCTTAACAATGTCTCGGTCGAGTTCGAAGATGAGAAGGATCCATCACGAAATGGCTGAGTTATCGAAAAAATTGTCATTATTGACCAGACCATCCCTGAGGGGGGGTACAGGGATTTTTTTCTCCGAATTATTCACAACATATATAAATCGACTCAGTTTTTAACGCTGATTCCGAATCTGATATTAGTTTTGAACCAAATAGTAGGTTTCTAACAAAAAATCCCCCGAAAAAGGTCTCAAAATGCAGAAAAACTACATGAAGAAAGCAAATAGTCTAGATATGTCTCAGATGATAAAAAACAAAGTGAATATACCTTTTCACTTTTTGAAGTACACATAACACTCGGATTTAAATCCGATGTTTCCGCATTTATTTTAACTAATCCCCCCCCCCCCCAGTTTAGAAGCCCCCGGGGGCTTCTAAACTGTCCACCATCCAAAATTTTCTGAGGGGGCTTCTATTAAGTCCTAAAATTTTTCAATAGATTTAGATGGAAAAAATTTCAAAGGGTTTTAGGGATTTTCAGAGTTTTTAAGAGTTGTTCAAACGACTTTCTAGGACATTTCAAGATTTTTATGATGATAAATAAGAAAATCAAGCAAATTCTTACCTTCAGATCTTGAATTTTGAAAGTTTTATGGTGAAAATTCCAATAAAAATTTTCAAAAAGTTTTTAAAATGAGGGGAGCTTCTAATACATCTTTCACATTGATCCTTCTGGAGGGAGCATCTAATAAGGGGGGGGGGCTTCTAATATGGGAGGGGCTTCTATTATGGGAGGGGGTTTATGTTAAACCATTTCATTATCAACCTATAAGAAAAAATAATTTCAGAAGAATTACAATACGATTTATTAATATTAATAAAAATGAAAACAATATATGTAGATAATTTTATTTTCTAGTTATAGATGAAAATAAACAATACAACTGAATTTACTGTTTTAGCTAATAGAGTATTACTTCGATAGACAAACTACTAAAACATGGTTCAAAACTTAGATCTCTAATTAAAAGACAAAATTTTTGCCTGTTGCCTTTTCTCTAAAAAAAACTCCTAAATGATAAATAATTTAGAACTATTGATGTTCACGTAATGGGTAATTTAAAGATTCAAATTAATAAAAGAATAAATGCTATGTGATTACTTTTCTAGAAAGAGAAAACTTAATGTATTTTCTTACTATGCAAAAATTTCTAAAAACATTGTATTTCATTTTGATTCGTCAAGAGATTCTAAATCACATGTTATAGAAGCTTTAATGTAGATGATTAAAGAAATGAAGTTTTCATCTCATTGAGATAAACCTAGAAATTATTATGTGTTTTATTCAAATCAATCTATGTTCAATTTTTTATATGTAAGAATGAACGGATGAGATCAAGAGAATATTTTTCGTGTCCGTCTCTTCTCTCATATGAATCTATTAGTATTTCTTAGAAAATGTTTCAGCATTTCTATGTAACATGATCGGTTCATTTTTTTTAACTATTTAATTTCATTTAGTGATTGATCAATTCCAAGTGAAATCTATAGTTTGTATAACAGCAAATGACAAAGTGGAGACGTGAAGAAACATAACAAACGACCTAAAAAAATACTTCTCTCTATATTTTTAACATTTCTATCTCTTAATAGATCAGATGACAATATTCTTATTGTCTTTGAAGAAATTAGTCAAATAATCTTCATGATATTTAACAAATTCTAAGACAAGGATTTCGAAATAGTTATAATGAGCATTATCAAAAACATCCGCAAAGAATATGGGTATTTTTTCTCATAAAGTTCTCTTCATTCATGGTAAAGATAGAATGTAATAACAATGAAGAATAATAAAAAGATTTCATCTGCCAAGAATTACGTAGAAGAAGTGCGAATAAAACAAAAATCTTATTCTCGCAAATAAATATATATCCATCCTATAAAAAACTAAAATATGATCAATTTTATTCAAGATTTATAAAGTATATTTGCAAATAGAAAAATTTTCGAAACAAGTTTTTTTTTACTACTGTTCAATCCTATTCCTTCTTTAGTTTTTCTTCTTTCTCTGATTTGTGTCAGTACTTTCATGAATATTCTATTTTGAGAATCGCCGTACAATTTATTTTCATAAAACCAATTAATTTTATCGATTGAGTATAAGATTCAAGAGAAATTAAAAAAAGTCGATATATTTATTTTTGACAAATGACATTATTATTACAATGTTGATATGATGAGTAGATACAATTAGAAGAATACGTGCATGAATGTCCTTTAAAAAATGTCCTGGACAAAATGTCCCCGAGTTTTTGTCCTCGGTAAAAATGTCCTCCGAAATTTTGTCCTTTAAAAGATGTCTTCGAATAAAATGTCCTTCAGAAAAATACCCTTCAAAAAAAAGTCCCTCTTGTAAAAATGTCCTTCACTTTGAGTCTGATGTATAAAATGAAATTGGGTAAAGAGGGTGTGGGTGTGGGTGTGTGGGGTGTGGGTGTGGGTGGGTGTTGTGTGGGTGTGGGGTGTGGGTGTGGGTGTGGTTGTGTCGGTGGGGTGTGGATGTGGGTGAGTGTGTAGTTCAGAAGAAGAATCACACCCACACCCACACCCCCACACCTACATCCCGCACCCACACCCACACCCACACACCCACACCAACACCCCCACACCGACATCCCACACCGACACCCACACTCACACCCACACCCACACACGCACACGCACACCCACCCACACCCATACCTCACACCCACACCCACCCACTCACACCCACACCCGCTCACTCACACCCACACCCACCCACCCACATCCCACACCCACACCCTAAAAGGACATTTTACTAATGAAGGACATTTTTTCATGGGACTTTATTGAAAAGGACCATTTTTAAAGGACATTTATAGTAAAGGATATTTATAGTAAAAGACATTTTTTGAAGGACAAAAACTCGGGAACATTTTGTCAAGGACATTTTTTAAAGGACATTCTCGGCTGTTACCCAATTAGAAATAGTTGATCTTATGAATATTTGATTAAATTTTCATAGATATGTTTTCTATTCTCAACAGGAGATTTCGAAAGACTTCTTCATCAAAATAAACAAAATGTTTTCTTTTGTTCTCTATTTTTCCTTCTCTTCAATCATTCTGCATCGATTTTTTAGCTGAGATAAGATTGTGATTTCATTTTATTTTTTTTAATCCTCTTTATATTATTTGACTTATGTATGCGAAGAGATATCGGTTCATATCTAATGATATTATAACTCGAATAATTGTTTATACAAGATAAAGTTGTATAAAAGAAAAAAGCTAAAGCAGTTGGAAAGAAATATACCTAAGATTTTAGACTATAAGTGGTAAAATAATAATGAATTGAACGAAAATTTGTTTTTACGAAAACTAATTCATTTTTTGTTAAGTTTACTGTTGAGCTATGGATTATTAGTGTCCTTAATGAATTAGAGAAAACATTACAAGATGTTTCGTCAAATGTGTAAATGTTCTTTTAAAATTCATAAATTTCTAACTTTATTCTAATGAAGCTGTTTCCATTGATAACTGGAACCCGATTACCTTGAATTATCAAATACTTCGTTTCAATAGCTGATTTTAATGATGTTATTCTTGTAGAGTTATCACGGAAGCATGAAATCTTAGAGATTTTTTGAATCGTTTATTTTTGTATTATTCTCTTTCACGAGCATATTTCATCATATCGATAAGAAAAAAGTACTTTAACATAAGCATATTACTTATATTGACATCAGATACAAAATTTAAGACGCAGTAGTAAATAGAATCTAATCGAAATAAAATAGCAAAACAACACTTTGAAAGTTCTCATCTAATCGGTTACCAACAATCTGACAAAACAAAATATTAGTTTTCGTAATTTGTATATTAACAAAAGTTCTTTTGAATTTGAATTTGTGAATAATAATACTGTTATTGCTATTCGTGCATCAAGGAACAAGCAAAGTAATCGGATGATGATATAATAAGGAGTTCAGTTTGATTAGTTTAAAATTTCTATATGAAATGAACATAATTTCTTATGGTAGCCTGTTTAGCTCACTTCTTTCGATGAAAGATGTTCATTTAAAACTAGTTGGAACGTTAATAATGCCTGGAACTGATTGCTGAGATAGATTATTTTTGTTTTTCAGATGATTGAGTAGAGTTTTCATCCAAACATCATCTTACTGTTTACTGAGGATTAAGACTACGTTTTCTTTAAACTTCACTTTTTGAGACATTCTTCAAGTCAGCAGTGTAATATCTAGGAAAATGATGAATGATACTCAGCCAGAGGATGGATGTAAGTGTAACTGAATATGAAGAGAAGGCTCACATCCATATCCTGAAATACTCATCTAATAGTAATTTTCAATAAAAGATTTGATTCGTAATAAAATAGATGTTCATCAATCCTGTTTACATTCTTTCATTCTGCATATGCACGGATGAATTTATTTCAGAAGAATTCAGTTGGCTAATCTTGAAAAATTTTCAATATATCTATATGAAATAATCATTTGTAAAATCTGAACAAGGTCTGTAACTTTCTATTGAACCTAGATCGAGTTTAGCTTATTTAGAAGATAAATAAGTATGAATTAAAATGAAATTCTCTAAGATAAATCGATTTCAATCATCATTCTTATAGAAAACTCTTTAAGGAAAATTTTAAAAATAATGAATACTACGAGT